TGGCTCAGTGATTGAGTGCCCCTGAGTTCAATCTCTGGTACCTCTCCCTGCCAAAAAAAAAAAAAGAAGCCAGTGGTGTCATTTGAAGGCCGCAGAGCCACAGGGACTGATGATAACTTTCAGGCTGAGTCTGAAGGCTGGAGAACCAGGAGTTAATGACAGGAGAAGGCAACATGCTAGCTGAATGGATTCTCAGTTCCTATGCTTTTTGAGTCCTCAAGAGATTGGATGATATCCACCTGAATTGGGGAGGGCCATCTACCTTACTTGGTCCATGAATTCAAGTGTTAATCTCTCCTGGAAATACCCTGACATACCAGAAATAATATTTCATGAGATATTCAGGCATTCCATGGCCTAGTCAAGTTGATAAAATTAACCATTATAGTAAGATGTGGGTATGAACTTAAATATTAAATACATTATGCAAATTGACTATATTTTCCAATAAAAATACAGACTGTCTTGGTGAAGAGAATAGTTCTATGAACATTATATTAAATGTAAATGGGATAAATTTTCAAACTGAAGGACAAAAACTATCTTTGTGAGGAGAATTATGCGACTACATCTATATATCTATATGTCTCTCACTATATATGTTTGGAGGTGTTAAAGAGAACTTCTGTCCACCTCCAAACATATACCTATAGATTTCTAATATTTCAGAGGAGAAAAGGATACCTCAAACAAAAAAAGGTGGGGAAAAAACAAGGGAAAGGAAAAAAACAGGGAGACTACAGGCTATGATGACTTAAATACAATCTAGATATGAGACCTTTATTAGCTAAAAAGGATTACTGGTTTTCTGCTGCTAATGTAGAGTTACCTTCTGTCATGGTTTGGATATGTGATGTCTCCCAAAAGCTCGTGTCTGAGACAATGCAAGAATGTTCAGAGGTAAAAATGATTGGGTTATGAGAGTTATGAATTGATGAGTGAATTAATTAATCTACTAATATTGACTAACTGGGCAGTATCTATAGGTAGGTAGGATGAAGCTGGAGAAAGTAGATCACCGGGGGTGTGCCTTTGGGATTTATATTTTGTCCCTGGTAAGTGGAACTCTCTTTGCTTCCTCGTGGCCACGTCCTTAGCCACTTTCCTCTACCACATTCTTCCTCCATGATGTTCTGCCTCATCTTGGGCCCAGAACTGTAGAGTTAACCATTTATGGACTGAGACTTAGACCTCTGAAACCATGAACCAAACAAACATCTCCTTCTTGCAAATTGTTCTTATCAGGTCTTTTGGTCATAGCAGTGACCAAAAAGCTGATTACAAGACCTCCTTCAACTACCATTCCCTGACCATTGCCCTCCCATATTCCAAATCTCCATTCCCCTTCTAATAGTATCTGTTCGTGTGCACTCATTTGGATAGGAGCTTCCTTCCATTTTCTAACTAATGAAAAATAAGGAAGTTTAAGCTAATAACTAATACTATGGGGTGATAGTTAAGTAGAGATTCTGGAGCCAAACTACCTGGATTTGAATTCTGTCTCTGATATCTCCCTTCCATGTGACCTTTGGCAAATCATTTAAGCCCTTAGTTTGTTTATCTGTAAAAAGAGAATAATAATATGGGATGTTGTGATGATAAATATGTAAAGTATTTAGAAAAGTGACTGACAAATATGTGCTACGTAAGCACTATTAGGATTGCTGCTATTATTATCAATATGGAGGTTATGATATAACATTTATTCTTTGTTTGATCTTGTGAACCTAGTTACAGTCCCTGCACCTGGACAGTTTAGGGTCCAAAAMTGATGGAATCATTCAAGGAAGACTCTTTGGGACAGGATTGGAGAGTTGTCCCTTTTCATCACTTCTGTGTTGTTTTGGCATCCCCAGCACTGGAATGTTTGGGGACTCTCTGAGGCAACACTTTATCATGAACTCATTGTTATTGTGATAGGTAATGGCAGCAATAAGGCAGTGAGGAGAGTGGAAACATCTGTGACTCTCACTAACCAATTTTTGTAGGTACTTAGGAAAAACTTTTAGAAATTTGTAATGTACTACTTTGAGGACTATCAGAAATAAATGGGGGAAATTTTGAAGGGAGAATAAAGTTCTTTATTATGATGATGAAGTTATCGTGCTGGCAGTTGATTTTAATTCCTCACCTTTAAGATTGATTTTAGGGACAACAATCTTACCTTTTGACCCACATCCCTTTGGACCAACACTGACAAATGGTCTAGAACCTAGACTTACAATTTTCAATACTGCATTCTTATATGCTTCTATGATTAGAAATAAATGATTAGTAATAAAATGAATTACATATATAGCTATAGATTCAATTGTGATTAAAAAAAGAAGAGTTTGAGAGTGTTTAAGAACTACTGCACAGCCAGGCATAGTGGCACATGCCTGTAATCCCTGTGGCTTGGAAAGCTGAGGCAGGAAAATTGCAAGTTCAAAGCCAGCCTCAGCAAAACTTAAAAAGGCCCTAAAGCAACTTAGTGAGACCCTATCTCTAAACAAAATTTAAAAAATACAAAAAGGGATTAGGGATGTGGTTAAGTGTTTAAGAACCCCTGGGTTCAAAACCTGGTACCAAAACAAAACAACAACAACAACAAACAAACCCCCCAAATAAAATAAAAACTACTGCAAGCTTATCATCAATATTGTTAAAACAAATCAAGGTTGAAGACTATATAAATATTGGGCCAATATGATGTTTTAGCATGGAAAATGTACTTTCTCCCCCTTTTAGAAATAAATTATTAGAAAAAAGAAAGTCATAAAATAGATTATTGAACCATATATTTCAATTTATTATTTTTATCATTTTACCAGGCAAATCTTATGTAATTTATTGCACTAACCCTATAAGAATCATGTGGAAATGGGAAAGAATGTTAATGGAAACATTTTCAAAAGGAAAGGGGAAAAAAGAATTTCCCAAAAGGATGCAAATGYTCTTACCAGAAGACAGGGTAACATGCCAGGTAGCCAAAAACATAGTTAATGCCTACATGATTAGATAAAGAAAGGCAAAATATAAGTTATATAAAATATTGCATTCCAGTAAAATCTATGTGGACCACATAGTAACATGAGTAATGGTCATGAAACATTGTTAAATAAAAAGGAGTACAGAAGAGAAAATATACTTAGAACTTTGGAATATGAGAAAACAACTTTTTACTTTGTGGTAATGAAATAATGGATATTAAAATTTTAAATTCATTAATGTATTTATGAAAAATACATTAAAAACAAAAATATTTTAAAGAAAAGATGCTTCCTTCTGCTTTTAAGTAGGAAGTGTTTTTTTTTTTTCACATGAGAATTTGCTCTCCAAGTAATTGTTTGGTTAACTGGAAACTGTTGATGAGATCTCTGAATCTTTTCTTGGACTATTTACTACTGCTGTTCCAGATTGAAGAGCTTGGTGACCATTTGCAACGCTGTGGCTGTTGCTGCACAAACACTAACAGTGTGACATGACTGTTATCACATACTACCACTCAATACTGCTCTCAAAATTGAAGTAGCTAAGGTGGTATAAAGGGAGGTCTCACCTTTGCCAGAAGCCACTGATCTTTCCAAGACATTGTTTGCCACAGTCTTCAACCTGGGTGGATCCTCAGAGTGATGGGAAGACCACTCCTCTCCCCAGTATTATCCTCAGTCCAGTGCAGACTAATATACAAACATGTGATGACTTCAGCAAAAATACTTCTGCATGGATCCCAGAATTTTAGTTCCAGTTAATCCACTGTGTTTCCGCTTTCCCTCCCCACCCCTCTCTCTCTCTCTCTCTCTCTCTCTCTCTCWCACACACACACACACACACACACACACTATTCCATGTGACACAGGAAATAATTGAATATTGAAACAGTTGTGAACATAAGGCAGACCAGAAGAAGTAGTTGTGATTATAATAATCTTTGTGGATGTGAAAGATTTGGAAGCGGGGCCGTCCTTGCTGAGTTTTTGACACTAAGCATGTTAATTTATAATAGTATGTATGTATGTATGTATGTGTGAGGGATGGTTTTATTATGTTTTGAATTATGGAGGACCTAACAAATAGGAAAGAGGCAGATTTGGTTTGTGTAAACATAGCCCTAATTACAGTAGTACATGGAAGCTGACCATCCTTATGCTCCATAATTTCACAGTTTAATATTCTCAAGTACTTTGAAGTTTGTTTCATTTTATTATACCAGTAAACTGCATACACATTCCATCTGCCTAACTTTGCTATGTACATATCATCCCAGGTCATATGGCCCTCTGTTCGCATATTGTAGTTCACCTAAATGCTACTGTTTCTTTTAAATACTGGGTGGTATGACCAGCTATCCCAGTTTGTCTGAGACTAAGGGAGTTCTCAGGATTTTCAATGCCAGGACAGTCCTGAACAAACTGGGAAGAGTCAATCACTCTAATCTCAGGTCTGCATGAAGCCTTTGTCAATTTATTCCCAGTCATGCTAAACTGACCTTCAGAAATTTGTTTTTACATTTAAATACTGATAGTTTTATGAGCTTAATAGTCATATATATATTTTAGATAGATAGATAGTAGTTTGCAAGTTTCTTGAGGTTAGGGCCCATATCACTTTAAGTTTTTTTCTTTTCTAATACATAGAGTACTAGTACTTAATAAAGTGAATCTAAGAATTTAAAATTTTTACTTAGGTGTTTCAAGCATTATACAATCTTTCTTCTTTAATTAAGTAAAGCAATGAAGCTTAGTGGCTATAAATGTGAATTTAAATTCTCAACATGTTGATTATTTGACTTTGGACAAGTTCATTAACCTTTCTGAACCTCAATTTCTTAAGAGTGTAAAATGAAGATTAAAAATACTACCTACTTTCCCATGATATTGTAAGCCTTAAACAAAATGTTAATTAAGACTATAGTATTTTGTTTAGCACATAGCCCACAATTAGTTATTATGTGGCAGTTGTTAATAAGTGATTGTAAATCAACTCATAGGTATTTTTCCATGGTTTGTTTCTTTCAGGGAGTTTATGTTATCCCAGGGAAAAGCAGTTATTAAAACTACTGACGATTATTTGCAGCCTCAGTTTGGCCCCGACAGACTTTTGCATTCAGCGGCAGTATCAGAAGGGTCAGGATTTCAAGATTGCTGTACACATCAAACAGCATCAGATCACAGCCATGAGGAAATATCAAACCCAGATAGCTACAAATCAAACAGTAAAAACAATTCTTGTTTTATATCAGCATCCAAGAGAAACAGACCTGTCAGTGCTCCGATGGGTCAACTGAGGTAATCAAAGCTGTTCTCTGTTCTTTTTAATGAACTGTTGAAGCTTTTTCTTTTGAGCAGAATTTATAGTTATTCAGCTAACTATTTCAGACATTAAAAGATAACATATCTCTTGGGGCTTGTTTCTGGTTTTGCTTATTTTTTTCCTTTGAAAGCACCAGAGTAGAATGTTGCTAATTACATTGTGGAAAACACGAGGTACACTTCAACCTGGGTTATCTGAAACTGAAAAGATTATTTGAAGCAAAATCAGAATAGGACCAGGAAATATCTTTGCTTTCGGGATATTTATTTTAAAGTAGAAATGCCCATTTTAGATATTTAACCAATATTTTGACAACAGAATGGAACTGATATGAACTTATTATAAAACCATTTCGTATATATGTTTTCACATCAAGATTGTTCTCCTAAACCATTAACCTCAGAGTAAAGAGACAGAAGAAAAACTAAAGAAACAGATACTCCCATTACTTTTAGGTGTTTGAAAATTTGGGTATGTTGTGATTTTAGCTTACCCAAAGTTTTTAAGATGTGGACTTGCTTCTGTGGCATTGCAAATTAACATGATGGGAAAATTCTGGAGTCGAAAATTTGTTTGCCACTTCACCATATACTTTTGACAAGAAAATAATAAAGATAAAACTGGTTTTAGCTGAAGACAAAACTTGGAATATCAATTTTTACTGCTCCCAAACAGTTTAAAATACAGGCAATTCAAATWATATAGCATTAAAGTTTTAGTTATAAAAATCTATTTGAATTTAATAAAAAAAATCAAAGAACTGTCTTGCACACAAAAACTTGTGGAAAATTTTAGCCATTTACTATTTTAAGACATTAAGACTATATTACTACTTTTTGCTCTTAGAACATGGCAGATCTAGCTATCTAATTTTTCAGATATACAATGTTAAAATGAATATTATGGTGTTTTATAAGTAAATGATAAAAAATCATTAATTCTAAGATAACTGTTTTGTATAAGCCAGTTTGGCACACTATCCTATTTTAAATGTCTTTGGATATTTAATAGTGATAKTCTCTTTCCATAAAAAACTTTGTTGGGGAACACTTACATACAAGGAACAATCTTTAGGGCTTATATTTTTTAAAAAAGTTTATGGTAAGTTTTATTTAAAAGATTTTAGTAATTAATATGCACCATTTTTTTGTGTTCTTTTTTTGTTTTCTTTTAGAGTTTTAAAGTTCTCCTCTCTAAAATTTCAGTCCACTCAGAATTGGCAAAGATTGTCTCAAAGGTACAAACTTCAACCAAGAGTGATTAAAGTAACAGCTTACAAAAATGGATCTAGAACAGTCTTTGCCAAAGTTACTGCTCCAACGGTCACCTTGGTAACTAATGTTCCAAACTTTTCAGCACTTTATTTTCTCCCTTGCTCTTTTTATGATATTAAAAAATGAAAGATGACACTTAAYTGTATTATGATTTTGTTTTTATCAATCCGAACCTGTAAATTGCTTACATGTGTGGATCTCACAGTCATTTCAGTCCTTTACTTTTTAAAAAATMAATATAAACAGTAATTAGTTAAACAGATTAATTATTAAACAAATCCAATGACATTATATTTTATAGAGTTATTAAAATGACAGATCTTAAGTTGAAGGATTAAAATTAGATCATAATTAGATATTCTTGGTGCTTTAATTTACCTTTTATTTCCATATATTTAACTGCTAGAAAATAACTACAGTATATGGGTTGAGTTACTAAACTTGGCAAGTGACTCACTTGGGCTTCTGTTTTGATTGTTAGAACCTTTTGTTTTATGGAAATGTGTTACTTTCTTTCTCATAAATCACTTTGTCTTACCTCTTGTTTTCTTCTAGTTGCTGGAGGAGTGCACAGACAAGCTGAATCTGAACATGGCCGCACGGCGAGTGTTCTTGGCAGACGGCAAGGAAGTCCTCGAATCTGAAGATATACCCCATGAAGCTGATGTTTATGTTTCAACGGGAGAGCCCTTTTTAGATCCATTCAAAAAAATTGAAGGTAAAAAAGGGGGAAAAAACCCTATCCCCCATACATAGTAAATTGCTTAAGGGGTGCAATTAAAAAATGATTTTCATCCCATCTTTTTTTGCATGGTTTAACAAAACTAATGTTTACRCATTTACAGCTCAGTAAGAGGATAATGTGCTTAATGAAAGAAAAATCCACTGACAGCCACGTTTATTGCCCTTCATTAGCATTGGTGCYTAATTTAATATAGATCTGAATAGACATTAGGGAGCCTGCAGGAGGTTAAATGGTGAAAATATAATAAATTAAATCAGAGATTATTGAATTTACTGTTTAGTTTCTGTGACACTCAACAGACATAATTCATTAGACTTATCCTTTCAGAAATTAGTTCAAAGTTTCAAGTATCATTTATTCATTTATACTCTTGGTTCTTTTTCAGATGGCAATCTATAACTATGAAAATATGGCCAGTAATGAAAATATAATTCTTATATACATGTGATTCTCCTAATAATTTTTTTCCAAGGTACATGCAGCAGCTTGATTTAAAAAAAAAAAAAAAAACCCTAAAATACATTTGCATGTGCGTGTGCACACACAGAGACACACACACCTATATATATAATCTCAGAACAGATTTTCTGGTCAGGTTTTTTATAAGTGCATTGTTTTTAATTATTCAGAAATGTGAGGATTTTCTAAAATTAAAACTTTTTTTTCAATCACAAAGGATACATTTTAAGAAAGAAAGAAAAGCACCAGTATCTAAGAATATCCTTCAAAGCATTTTGTACCCAGAGTTTGTTATYAAGTGCTATGTATGATAATCAGATTTAAATAACATAAAGAATAAGAACTTTGTCATAAAAATTCAGTGTTTCTAACTGCTCTACTCCCTTATGCTTTTTATACTGTACTAGATGTAATTTTTTCTGCAGATCCTATAAAGCTGGTGAATCAAAGGCAAGTCTAGGCAGTAATTGCATAAGTAGGAGAAAAGTAGTTTTGAAGTTTATTACAGATGAGGTGATGAGAATCCCTCTTGTATTAATGTTATTATATAAAATAATGTTAAGATTTCTATCTTTTTGATAATACTTGATCATAAGAAAATAAGTAATTTCTTGAATTTGATAGAAAGTTCAAGATAATTTGGTCTTTGTAAAGAAACTTGTTGCTGTAGAATTCATTAAAAATTCCCCCATGTGATCATGTAGACCTACATTTTTGCTTTAATTTTAAAAAATAGCTGATTTTATTTTGTATTCATTGAATAATTTGCTTATGAATGATGAATCTTAGTGAATAAATGCATTTCTATGATTTTTTTTAAAGTCAGAAGTTTATGTAATGGTTACTTCAGTAAGATCCTTGATCATTTTATTATTTGTCTTTCATATGAATAATGGTATTATAGAAGAGAGATGCATAAAAATATTTATAGCTAAGCTAAAAAGAAAATTTCCTGGACATGTATGCCCCAAATAATAATGTCACATACATGACTAAAACTTTTTCAATGATTTTTAAATGTATGAACTAATTTTCTCCTACTTTTTGTTTCTCTTTTATCCTTTGAAAAGCCAAGTCCAGGACAAAAACTTCTCTGCTTTGTCTGCATATCTTTGGCTGTGTTTCACTGTGACATGCACTGCTGTTCTTTTAGCACCAAAATGTTGGCACACACTCCTGAAAATTTCACACCATCTCTTGCTGGATCAGCAAGCTTAACCCACCAAAATCTGGTGTTGTGCAATGGTTTTTGACTGATAATCAATCTTTATGCTGCTCGACAGTTGTTGCTGGGACACAGAGTAGAGCAGGTGGCAGATGTGTCTTGTCTTTTGAGAAAAGAAATTGTAGGTGAGCTTGGACACAGACTAGCATATCACATGTCCATTAAAAGGACTTAGGATAAGTATAATGAGGGAAAAGTCCCTCATTTAAGTTAAGCTCATAGATAATAAGCCTAAACACTGATATTTGATTTCATTCAAAACATTAAACATGTAAATAAATGTAAATATATAGCTAAATATTACCTTTCACATATATGTATGTACGTAGGTGAATATTTAACTTGATGTGGGTGATGTCCACATATTCACATATGCTTTTTTATATCATCTAAATCAGATTTAAGATAACCTTTTGAACATATATTATAGATTTTTCAGCAATTTGTGAACTTGTTGTCAAAAATATACCATAAAAATAAAGCATGTTTGAARATAGTAGATACATTTAAAAGAAGAGGAGGAATTATCAGAAGTTGGAAATTTTAATATGCTAAAGGTAAATCATGGAAAAATAAGACTTGATGTTGCTGMTATAACTTTCTAAATGAGCATGAATATTTTGTATAAAATCAGCCAAAAAGCATTAGAGTAGGTAACTGGCCAATATTTCAAGTTACTGATATTTGTTCATGCAGCAATTTATTAGAACCTACTATGTGCCAGGTAATAGGCCAGATCAGAAACAAAGTAGGGACAATGCTGATTTCTTTTTTTAAAATTATTATTCTTTTACCTCTGATTTCAATTCAATTTGTTAAAAAATTTAAATCAGTAAAAATTTTTGTTGAATACTTACTGTATATCTGTGAGGAACCTAAACTGTGAGGTAAATAAGTTATAAATCCTTAAAACTGAGAACACTATTCAACAATGTAAATCAAAGGGGTCCTTTACAGAAAAAATTACCTTATTACTGCCACAAGAAGGCCAAATAAGACAATATATATTTTGGCAACTGTATTTCAATATCTCATTGGTTTCCCTGTGATTTAGAAAATCAGTGTAAATATTGAAAATTTCCTGSTATTAGAAAATGATTACAGATTTACTAAGATAGGAAAAAAAAGCCAAACATCTCTGATTTTTTTAAAAACTATTTTACTGTCCCTTTTGGACATCACTGTAGACAACTAGAGGCACTGCATTTAATAGAAAGCCAGAGAGCTATTCATCATATTACTTTGAAACACAAAGCTTTCATTTAGAGGTCAGGATAAGGTCAAGACTGACATGAAGCATTCCATATTGCAATGCAATATTAAAGTAATTCTTAGATTTTGAAGTTGAATACCTGATCATGAACATGAATTGTATATGGAAAAAAATCAGAAAATAGGAAAATTTATATAGAAAATTATAGATGAAAATGTTTTGTGGTTTTATAATTCTGGAATTTAAAGATTCTGATATTTATTAGTCATTCTGGAATTGGGAAGGTGTAGTTAATGAATTGTTATAAAAGACATTTCAAAAATTTTCATTTTCAAAAAAGAGTCTTCAGTTTCATGGTTTGGGATTTATTCACAATTTCCTGAAGCTTCTGCTTAATGGTAGTACAATGAAAGTTCTTGGATGAGATCCATACATTTTATAAAAGTTCAGCCCCTTTATAACTGCTAGGAGATATTGGCAATGCAAATATAGCATAAGGAATGGTTTGTGCCCAGTGATTAATTAAATATCTTAAATAAAATAGGGGGGAGGATTTGTTTAGACCCAATTCATTACCTAATGAATTTTACTGCATGGAGTTCTTATTGTCTTTAAATTTTTTTAGTTTTATATTTCCACTATTTCCTGTATATCCTACTCCACTATTTGGCTTTCAGAATTATCATTTACAGTGATACATTTCAGTCCTGAGGTTTTTTAACCAGAAGTGAAACTGAATATTATAAATAAGATTCTACATCTTTTAAATACTGTATTGTGAAGATATAGTCACAGGAAAAAAAAACCCATGAAAGGAGTTCTTGATAGTACACCTAAGATCTAAATTTAAACCTTAAGATTTTCTGCTAGCTGCCATGTGATCTACAAAATGAAATAATTTGCTGTGACAGCTTGTGATTGACAAGAATATGTGTGAGCATATTTAAAATAGGCCATCTTTTCATGTAGAAGTAAATGTCAGTGAAATGATGGATTCTCATCATTTTAATTATTGATGATTTGGAAATATTTCAATTCCATGACACACAGGACACATTCTAAATAGCAGCACAACACTTTTTCTCATATCTGCTTCAATAATGAAATGTTCTGTCATATTTTGTTTTTCAAAAAATGCATTAGTTTAATGAACCTGGATTCATGTGTTATATTCTGGTTCATTATATGTTTACTAAGATTGTTGTTTTTAATAGTTGTGTTAAAAGCACAAGTGTCAAGAAGCGACCCAATACTCAAATCACACCACATCTTGCTATTTCTCCTTCTGGATCTAACACAGAATGCAATAGTGTTGCCTACACCAATGGCTGCTTCATCCTGCTAAAGCTAATACTTAACTTCATGATGCCTATCTATAGGGCAAACACTAATTTATTTAGGCAGCTAAAGGAGTTAGGGTTAGTTTTTCCAAATTTATTTTTATAATTTGGTTTCAATAGAACATATGGTAGGTGATTTTGTTGTTCATTTTATCTCCCACTTGGCTGTGTATACTCAAAAGTAGGAAACTTGCAACACAGAGAAGGAAAAGATTCTTCTGTCTATTAATATAGATGAAGATAAAGTCATAAGCATGTATTTCATGTGTTTCCCTCTTCCAAAGGCTTTAAATCTGTAGTAAGGGTACTATATAAATAGAAGTGGATTTGAAGACAATTGTGGGAGACCAAAGGGGGAGACAAGGGACTTTAGCCACTAGGAAAACCTAGAGCATTTGCATGTGGTTTACAGATTCCCCTCATACTGTCAAACATGAAATCACTGAGAAACACCTAAATTCTTAAGATAATCATGAAATATTGAATTAATTATACACATACACAAAGGATATACTTATTTAATGAAGATGCCTACAAACATACTATATTCCTGATAATTTGAATGGTTGAATGGTTTCTGTATATCATGTACCCCGTTATGGCTTTAAGTTTGTTAGGTGTACTCCTTATAACTCCTGAGTTAGTGTTACAAATCCATAGTCCCTTATCTGTAATTCCCAAACTCAAGATTGTAGAAATCCAAACAGCTTTACCTTATTTACTATAACTAATCAAG